CACGTCAGGCCAAAGCATTTGTAATCAGATATTCGCCTTACGCCCTGAATCGTGAAATCCTGGGAGTCCGTCTATTTAGTGAATATGTGCTTAGTTGACCAGAGAAAGCCGGTGACCGCAACAATGCGCAACAATCTGTGGGCAGGTCTGCGAATATCTTGGATCGATGACCATTTACTTTGTCATGCAATCACTATATACTGATTGGAGGTGCTGCCTCAGAGTAAATGGAGTTGAGTCGAAGTTTCAGTGCTGGCAGTGGTCTTTGCGTCCTGTCCCCCTATTTTAATTGTGTTGTGCATCGATAGAATAGTAAGGAGCTGCCAAGATGATAAGTATGTGGGTGTAGGATATGTGAAGGCGAGGCTGCTATTTGTAGACGACCTTGTTTTATTAGCATCTTCTTGAACTGATCTCCAGTGCTCCTTAGAAAGGTTCGCAGCCGAGTGTGCGTGTGAACGCATCTAAAACGAAAAGCCTAGTGCTTTCTCGTTCCCCTGTCCGTTGCTCTCTTCAGATTAACGAAGAGGCAGTGGAGCAGGTGGAGAAGTACCTCGGAACTATATTTACTAGTGATGGAAAGTTGGAGGAAGAGATCGACCGGCGAATTGGAGTAGCCAGTGTCCTTCTGTGTGAACTAGCCCGACCTACTGTGACTAAAGCAGAGCTCAGTCTGAAAACTAAGCACTCAATATTCAAGTCGATCTTTATCCCCATACTTACCTACGGTGATGAATCGTGGACCATGACTGAAAAACTGCGATTCTGGGTACAAGCGCATGTAAGGGGCATTCCGAGATGATTCGCTGATTTACGCGTCTCCATGAGGTCCGGAGTACGGAAGTGTGCGAGAGCTTCGGTGTATACAGCCGCTACTTGTTCAAACTAAGAATTCTGGTTGCGATGGTGTATGCACCTTTTGCGAATGCCTTCGGAAATGAATGTGATGCAATTATTTCTTGCCCAGTGGACCCACCGGCGTAAAATCTCGAGTACGGCCAAGATTAACCATGGGTACTGGATGAGCCTGTTGTAGACACCGGTTGCCGTCTGCTGAAGCTCAGACTCTGGCACAGACTCAGCACTGGAGTGGAAGGATCGGAGTGACACGTCTGCCTGTATGACCTGAAAGGAAAAGAAGAAACCTTAATTTACTTTCTTAGGTTCGCTTGTGCTAGAAATGAAAAGTCGCCCTTGAGCAACACGTGGAATTGGCAGTTTTGAGCCTGCAGGAGGGGGGGACAGGCAACCGGAAATCCCCATCTAGCCTTATTATGAAAGAATGCTGCATGTATATAAGTTTTTGAGTGGCACAGGTCAATTTGTTTGAAATATAGTCGAGTATGGGATGACATAGGCGAGACATTTAAGACTGTTTCATTGTTCGACGTTGTCAGTATGTTCTTTATTATGCTTGAATGCGGAATGCAGAACGCTGTCATGGATTAGAGGCCATTTTTCTCGTTTTCGTGACTAAGCTGTGCTAAGGAATATCCGGGGGAGGAGCCGAGAGTTAATGAAGAGAATTTTTTAGAAAGGCAGGAATCGCCAGCTGCGGACGAGAGCACTGGTGAGAACTGAGGGGCTCCCAATGACGGTGGCGAGGATCGTTCCTAGTGCTCTCATTCCAACGACATGCTTCAAATTAGGCATTGATTTGCGGCGTCTGTTCCTACGGACGTCACAGCGATCGATCGACCACGACAACGAGGATGAAGACAACGACTTTCCCTCTTCCCTTTCATCGTTTTCCTCCGTCGGTGGTTAGGACGAATTTGTGCCATTAGCCGCAAGTTGAATAGAATTAATCGCGTTTTTGTCCCCCCGTGTATCGATCGGAGAGTCTATATGAGGGGGAAACTCCAGAATGTGTTATGGTCAATAAAGTAGCAACAAATAATATCACGCTTATTTGGAATTTGATCAATGTTACCACGGCGCAATCACGACTCGCCCTTTCTCTTCTACGC